GGGAGGGCAAACCCACGAATGTATAAATACTGGTAGTCCAATCCTCTGACATTGATACAGTAAAAAAAAAGTCTGTTTATAAGAACACATCTAGGCCTTGGGAGCAGGTAGACAGAGTGAGATGCTTGCAGCCGCATCGGGAACAGCTGAAAATGCAGGGAGAGTAGTTGCCGGCTGTTTTCAGACCCAGAGGGAGTTTTGGGCATTGAAAGGAGGAGGAAGAGGTGAGACGGAGGGCTGAGCTGGGGACTGGGATGCTGTGTCCACCAGAGGCGAGTGGCCTCCGTGGCAAAGGCCTCAGAAGTTGCTACTCTCAGCCTTTCTCATGCTCTTTTAATTGAAACCAAAAAATGGACGAGCCCCTTCGTGATCCCAGATAGGCTGGTGGGTGATAAAAGAGATGGACAACACGGGACAGAAACAAAGTCGTAAAAGATGCTAATCTGAACATCAGTCCTCACTGACAGTGTCATTATCAGTTAATTAATGTGATCCAAGGGCCTGGGGCTTCGTGAATCTCAGAAAGTCAAAAATGCAGAGGCTACAACCCTAGAAAAGTGGCTTGGAGGCAGGGGACACATGGGAGAGCTCTAGGGCCCTTAACTGGCTGAGTCACTCTGAATGCAAAGCCAAAGGAGCCCACATTCTCTCGTGCCCTCTTTGGGACATTTTGCTCCGGGTCTAGTGCTGGTGTAGTCTGTGCCTTTGGAAAGCTGTGAGGCCAAGATGCCATCTCAGGTTTGCCCCCAGTTTAGGTGGCTTGTGCCTTCTGAGGAGCTAGAGATGGAGGTGATGATAGTGGTGGTGATGGAGGGGGAGTGTGAAGAGAAAAGGAGGATGAAGGTCCCGGCTTAGTTGTCAGCTTGGGGACCCCACCCTGGGCTGTCCTGGCAAAGCCTTCCTGCACGGCTCCCTGAAGGGCATGTGTACTCCAGGGTCCCAAGCATTTGAGAAGATGTGGTCTGGGGGCTGCTTGGGGTGCCTGTGGGAGGAATCCTGCCAGGAGGAGGGCGTGCTAACCCCTTCCCCTTTTCTGAGGTCCTGGATCAAGCTGCATCCAGTCCTGCTCAGGTGGGGTGACTGCTCCAGGGGACCGGGGCGGGGGGCAGCCCCAGTTTGGGGGAGTGTTTGTGACCCCTGTGGCTGACGACGGTCCCACTGTGCTGCCCATGACATCTGTCTTCAGCTAAGCAGACAGTGCTGGGTTCAAACATTTATTTTGGGCCCATGTCTCTGTCTCTTTTCCTTCCCTCCCACCCCTTCCCCTGGAAAAGATTCAAAGAGCACGGGAGAGCTGCACCCTCCCCTGCAAACGTTCTGGGCTTGTGAGATATTACTTTAAAAATCAATCTGGTTTAAACTAAATATTTTCTTAAAAACTTCAGTCTGTTTTTAGGGAAAATACAGATCTTTTAGAGGTATTTATTATTTCAAAGACAAGGGCAGTTTGTATCTTGTGTTTTGCTCATGAGAACTCAAAATAAACTGGACCTGAAAAGAACCAGGCCAGGAGGCCAGAAACACACATTTTATGTCTACGGGAATTGTGGTTCAGTTCCCCTCAGTGTTTGTTAAGTCTCGTTTTACCTTATTTTCCTAATCAACATAATAGAAGTGACTCTGGGCATTACTTTAACTATGTATAAGGTGCCTTTATAAGTTGAATCCTAAAATATGCTAAGGACCCCAGAAGGAACATCAAAGCCAAAAGGGGCAGAAAAAGCAATGTGTTCTTGAAGATGTCACCGCAGCCCCACCTGCTCCAAGGACATCCTGGGCGCTTGGCAGTTCTGTCTGTCATGGGAAGGGGTTGGGTCATTGCACCCTCTGGCCACTTCGCCCCAGAACCTTTAGGACTTGTAGAACAAGCTGGG